GTGTTTCAAATGCATCAGCCATATGTATGTACGAAATGACCTATGTTGGCCGGCGTCGCGGCTCACTAGGCTAATCCTCCACCTGCGGTACCAGCACCCCGGGTTCTAGTCCCGGTCAGGGCGCTGGATTCTGTCCTGGTTGCTCCTCTTCCAGTCCAGCTCTCTGCTGTGGCCCGGGAAGGCAGTGGAGGATGGCCCAAGTGCTTGGGCCCTGTACTCGCTTGGGAGACCAGGAGGAAGCACCTGGCTCCTGGCTTTGGATCGGCGTAGTGTGCCAGTTGTAGCGACCAACTGAAGGAAGACCTTTCTCTCTGTCTCTCTCACTAAATCTGCCTGTCAAAAAAAAAAAAAAAAAAAAAGAAAAAGAAAAGCCCTATGTATAAATATCATATCCTCCTTTCCCCTAAACAAATTTCTTCCTCATAAAACTTGTCAATATTACATATCTAGAAACAAAACAAACCTTTCCGTATGTGGGAAGCAAGACTGAAACATCTCTTTAAAAATGGAGCACTTTCATCTTTTTATGTATCTATGTAAGTATAGAGATTGGGTATATAAAATAAGAGAGCTTCAGGAAAAAAAACAACACTAATAGCAAAAGTAGAACTTAATAAACAATTTTTGTCTTTGTTCTTTTAGGAAGGGAAGAAAACAATAGTTCTTTCACTAAATGAAGACAAACTTATAGAGGTTGCAAAATGATGTACCATAATGTTTTTATTATTTAAAATACTTGCATTTACTTAGGCTCTCTACTGAGTAGTTAGATAATTAATGGATCTTCTGCTGTACGGTGACATTACTTTTTAAAGATGATAGATATTATGGCATTAATTGAAGTACCAAGAATTGGTTTATAACCTGGTCTTTGCAACAATTTAATCTGAGCAATTTCTATTAAGTACACAGAACAAAAATGCTTTTGCATGAAGATGAGAATTAGAGGTGCTAATAAATCTGAGATTGCATTGCTGAAGGGCAAACTTTTTAGATAGCAGCTTCTTTCCTCTATGTCTGAGTCCTATAGCTGCTCCACTATAGAGGCAGAATGTTTTCCATAGAATTCTCCATGGATCATTCTGATCTTACAAAGGAAAAACTCCGTTAGAGTAAAGAAAAATGAAGAATAATAGATTCGTAAGTTGTTAGAGTCTAAAGTGCTTTAAAGGTCATTGTGCTTCTTTCTCTTATTTTACACTTGATGAAGCATAGCCTGTGAAGGTGAAGAAGGTCAAGCAGATCATCCAAAGTCATGTGGCCAGGGAAGGGTAGATTCAGGACAAGGTGCTCAAGTCTTTATCATTAGTCCGGGCCTGATTTTCTTACATGCCTATCTGAGATGAAAAAGGCATTCACGAATTACCAAGGACATTGTTCAAAGAATTGTCCCTTCCATTTCTTAAAAAAAAAAAAAAAAAAAAAAAAAAGGTGGTTCTCTGCATTGTTGTTTGAAATCCAAAATACTTATAAAACACTTTTTTATAGTCTTTTAAGATCTTAGCTTGCTACTTACTTTATTGAGTTTCTGGTAATGGAATAATTTACATCAAAGACAAGCTTAGAACTAGAATGTGATCACATATATTAATAACATGGCTAACAATAAGTAATAGAAATAGTATAGAAAATAAAACAACAAAAACTAAATATGAAAATTAGATAAAAACTGTATATATATATACATATACATTATATATGTGTATTATGCATAGATTTTGCTCTGGCAAGTATGAATCTAGAGAGGCGGAATGCAGATAGGTTTTTCCCTATGTTCACCAGTTAGAATTCCAGCAGAACTGAGCAAATTAGAACTGATTATTATAGTCCTGGTGTTGTTGTATACAGTAGGGTCATTACGCAGATCTCCCAGGGTGGAAATGGAGCTTTTATGGGCTTCTGCTGGTACTAGCTCCCAAAAGGTGAACCCCCGGGCTCATGTAGAGTGAGTAAGCATGGCTCCATACTAATGCCCCAAATCTCCCAGTTTCAGGTTGCAGGTGATCTGTTCTTTGCCCTGCAAGTTGCCCTGACTCTGACTCTACTCTGATAGCTTCTATTTGCAGCAGGTCATAGAACCACTGCACAGCTTTCACAGCCAAATCCAGTGATCTGTGGGAGCAGGGGACAGGAGGAATGCAATGTGGCTTCCCTTCTTGGAGCCATGCAGTTATTCAGACTCCAGTCAGCTCCCCATTCTGAAGTAGAAAATAGTGGGGGACTATGGAATTCTCTCAGCTAAAATTGCAGGTGGAGGGATGCAGGCAACTTCTTCCTAACTTGACTCGAGAAGATGGTGACTCCCTGCCTGCAACTGGCTGCACTCTGCTGCATGTGGCGGCCTCAGTATGGTGCTGGTCTTCTTTCCGCACTGTCCCACAGTCTTCTGTTTTGTCACTTCTATGCTGAAAATTTCTGTTGGGAAGACTCCTGGAAATATGGTCCTTTTTTTTTTTTTTCATATTGCAGGGCTTCTGAAGTCAGTGTGGCTGCACCCTTTTCAGCTATGTTGGACTTGAGCTATCTCTCATGGACTTTAAAATATTAATTTTCCTTGTCTTGATTAATATCATAAAATATGCAATACTTTTGTAAGGACCAGTTTTTTTCCCTCTGGAGAGAGATAATATTAAATATATTATTCACTTGGTTTTAAATGTCTATTTTAAAATATGCTTTGCTTTCCCCATAGTTTCTCTCCTAAAGTAAGTGCCACTCATGGACACTCCACTTACATACCCATGTATACAAACACAGATACATATTGTTCTTTTCTGTATGACTGTTATTTTTTTTTTTATGAAACAAGGGGATGAATTAAGGAGAGGAAAGTTAATATGTTACTATTAAGACCCTGGTGTTAATACTAAGAACAAACTTCCCCTAAAACTCTGGCAAACCATTCAAGAGAAACACCCACTGAGACCCATCTTAGGAATGTTGTGGAAAGAGCAATGAATCTTATTCACCAGGTCTATTTGACTTGGGAATATGCACATGAAGTTTCTTTCATCTAAATTATCTGGGACAGCTTATATAATTCTTTTTTTTCTTTATCTGTATACTCCTGTATATTTTTAAAATTAATCAGTAGCCTTTTTTAGCATGCCCTTCTCTGAAGATATTTATAAACAGTTATGCTTTAGGGGCTGGTGTTGTAGCTCAGTGGGTTAAGCCACTGCCTATGATGCTGGCATCCCATGTGTGGGCACTAGTTCTTGTCTTGTTTGCTCCACTTGGATCCAGCTCCCTGTTAATGCACCTGGAAAATCAGTATAATATGACCCAAATACTCAGGCCTCTAGCACCCATATGGGAGACCCAGATGAAGCTCCTGGCACCTGGCATTGCCCTGGCCCAACCCTGGTTATTGTGGCCATTTGAATCAGTGGATAGAAGGCCCCTTTCTCTTTCTCTTCCTCTCTCGTACTGCCTTTCAACAAACAAACAAACATATAAATAAATAAATCTTCAAATATCAAAACAGCCCAGGACTAATGCTTCAGCTCAAACTACCATGAAAGAACAGATTCCTTATCTTCCTGCTCCCTGTTGGTAGTATATGGCTTTATTTTTCAAGGTACCAAGATGGCTGCTGTATCTTTAACCGTTAAGTCCATATTACAGGTCATGGTGTATTCACTGTGTAATTATAAATGAAAATGTATTATCATAGAATATAGTAATTCCAACCAGAATTTGACTACAGGAGAACACCAAGTCACTGGGCTTGTGTTTCCCAGGCCTGTATCACTCATATTCTGCTCTGAATAAAACCTTATATTTACCCTTTTTCAGAGTCCATTTCTATTATAATACAAATGGTTAGATGTTTTCTTCTAATGTCCTCCCATGGTTCATCTTTTTACATAGGACTATGTTAAAACACTATTTAAAACAGGAAACTAAACTATATCCCTAAATACAGACCAAAAATGGAATAAAATAGTTACAGAAGAATTTTTAAAAAATAGACAATTGCTAAATAAATGAAAAAGAAAGTAAGCTTCAGGGATCTTACTAGATAATGGTGGATAGTAGATAATTCAAATCAATTAAATATGGACTTAAAAAGCATTACAATGTACTACTTTCAGCACTGTAATTTAGAACCAGAGATTACAATGCATAAGTGACATTAGCAATCCTGGAGTATTCATGTATAAGTGAATTATGTAATATGAATTATGTATTCTGAGTTTATTCCCTTCATTCACTGGGAAGGATCATGTCCACATATTTATGTCTACTACTGTGGGGCTCCTTATAATATCAATAGCACAGGGAGAAAAAAACCTGAACTGCTTGTGCTCCTATGCAATAGATATACAGATGTAGTATAAAGTACTTAGAATGTCAAGTATAGTGTGTATCAATTTACAGTCAACATTTCATCCTGTTTAGTCAACTTGATCCCATTCTATGAAATGAACATAAGTATTGTCACTGTTCTGCAGAGAGCAAATAATGCGTAGGGAATTCAAGTAACCTGCCAAAATCCCACTGCTTAGGGGGGCAGCACTTACCAGAATCCTCACATGTCATTGTGAATATTGTGTGTCTAGTACTAACAACAGGACATGATTTGCCTAGCTGTATATGACTTGGAAGATACCACTCTGGGTGCTAAGAAAAGAAATTCTACTAGGTGATTAGATCTGATATTACTTGAGAAACCAAAACTTAGAATTAGATATTTAAAGCTTAGAATTTTAGCTTACCTGAAAGCAGCAGAAAGGAAGCATATGCAGCAGAAAGATTAATGGAGTTTGTTTGTCAAAAGAAACATAAAAACCAGCAAAAGAAAATCTCTTTAGGTAGCAACTCTTTCAGTTTCAATTTAGAAGTTGCTTTCTCAATTACACCCCTGCTGAATCTATACTGTCAGGATGAATAGCTCTTAGTGCTGCTGCTTTTTATTTTATTTTATTTATTTATTTATTTGGCAGAAAATGATAGGGAGAGGAGAAACAGGGAGAGGGAGATGGAGAGATTAATACCTATCTGTTTTCCATCCTCTGGTTTGTTGTCCAAATGCCTCCTGTAGTGAGGGCTGGGCCAGGTTGAAGCTAGGAGCCAGAAATTCCACCCAGGTCTCCTATATAGGTGACAGAGACTTAAGTATTTGAGTTATTACTTGCCTGGGATGTTTTTTAAAGTATTAATTTGTTTTTATTTAAGTGAATGACAGAGTGAGAAGGAGGATGAGAAAGAGCGGGAGAGTGAGAAGGAGCTATTACCGCTACTGTAGCAGGCAGCATTTTTCTGCCACAGGCTTCCTCACCCTACATGGAACTGCAGGTCCATGTGCAGTACCTCCAGCTGACTGTAGCGTTTTTGAAGCCAGGGATCCATTCAGGCTTTGTGCTCAGAGTCTAAGGAAATTTCTGAAACAACAAAGACAATGATGTATCAGGGAATGTATAAATATTCCTTAACATTAAGTAGATTGAGTTGTATAGAATACAACAAATAGAAAATGTATCTCATGCTGTAATAAAATGAACTCCATATTATAACACATTCCCTTTTCCTTCTTTGTCTTTGTTTAGTAAAAACATTTTAGCTGAATTAATTTGTGGGGAGGGTAAAGTAACTATATTATTGGGACACATTCCTGAATTTCTCTCTCTGTTTATAAGATAAATCATCCTGTTTCCAGAATGTCTTCCAGGTTTAATGAAAACAACTAGAATAGGAAAATGTACTGGTGTATGGCTGCAGGAGTGGGAGAACATTCACTTGGAAAAAGTGGATTAATACCAACATTTCACAAAATAAAAATTGAATTAAAGCTGTAGAAAACATTCAAAACCACAATGAAATAGAGAACAAGAAAGGAGCTAATAGCAGAGTAGAGAGATGGAGAGAGAGAGAGAGAGAGAGAGAGAGAGAGAGAGAGAGAGTCAGCAACTTAAAGATGAAAAATAAATAGAACAGTAGTATCATACTACCATAATGGAGGAAATGAAAACCTAAATGCCTGGGCTGTCCAAACAAGAAAAAGCTAGATGATTTGTACAGAAGGAAATGGAAACTCAGGAATTAGAAGCACTAGGCCAAGCTGAAGGTTGTTGGAGTCCTAGTCTTCCCAAACCCCCACTTCTATAGCCAGGTTGCTGCCTCTCTTTATTCCACCAAAGCATGGAAAATAAGGGGTTTACTTCCAGGAGATAGTCTTGGCTCAGTAACATCAACAAGAGCTGAGGTTCTGGTTGAGGAGCCATACACCAAATAAGAGAATTATGATGAAATGACCATACTGAAAAATAGAACCTTAAGTGTTCTCCCTTTGTTTCTAGAACTTTGGCAGTCAAATGTATGCTTTCTGTATGGAGACTTGTTATTTTTTTCTCAAAATCTGACTAACTGTTGAGATTTACCAATGCTGATATTTATGATCTTCACCAAATCCCTTTTTGCTATGATTTTGAGATTTTATTCTGGTTAATGAGATCTGAGAAAGAGATTAATGCAAGGCCTAGAAGATAAAAGTGTGCTTTCTGAGGAAATTTCCTGTTAGAGTACAGACTCAGCTAATTATACATTTAGCACTTTAACCCATTCCCGATTATTATTCTTCGTGCCTGTAATATGGACTTAATGGCTAGAGATACAGAAGCCATCTTGGTACCTTGAAAAATAAAGCTGTATACTACCAATGGGGAGCAGGAAGATAAGGAATCTGTTCTTTTATGGCATCTTGAACTGAAGCATTAGTCCTGGGCTATTTATTAGGTGACTGAAATAAACTTAGGTTAGTTTATACCACAAATTTAACATATAGTTGTTATTGTAGATTGTTACTGAAACAATATAGACTCAGAGAAAACTCAGACAATTCCAGAAGAAAATCTTGCACATGTGAATTTAATTCATCAGAAAGATAAATAGAGATGTCAATGAATAAGTTTCTATGAATCTGAATCTGAATATATAAAGATAACATCTAAAAGTGGTGCATGTAAAAACAAAATGTGGTACATCCATGGTGCAATGGAATGCTGCAATAAAATGGACTGACTATATGATATAACAAAAATGATCCTCAAAAAACATTTTGCTAAGACAAAGAAACTGTTCATAGACAATATGCTCTGGGTCTTTCACATTTGTACCCAATGACTAACTTATTTTTTTCATACTCTATTCCAGACTATATTTTCAAGTTTGTTTATGTAGTGAACAGCCTTGAAAGACAGATATAGTATCTCTCCGTCTTAAGCAAGCAGCAAGCATGATAACTTTCTGAAACTCAGTTATTCTGTCTGGTACAGCAATCCAGTGTTTTTATAGGCCAAACCTGGTGCTCTTTGTGTCACCCTGTAGAAACTGGGTTCAGAGGAACCGGCACAAAACCATCTGATAATTTGTGTATTGTTATTGCCATGGATAACGTATATTCCATCATCTTTTCCAGCTTCCACCTAAGTGTGACACACTCACTTCTTACCTTGGAAATCACATAAGTTTCAGATTCTTCACAGGACTTGATAGAAACATGATGAAAAGAATACATGCAGACTGATTAGACATCTACCTTGTGTGCCTGATAGGGTAAGATGAAGTATTACTAAAATAATAAATGATAATTTACTTCTTTAAGATAGTTTAAATAGAGCCTATTTGGAATTTTGGAGATCTAACATAAATTTGTGGGAAAAAATTACCCTAGTCTCAAGGAGTCATAAATTTTAAAAATTTTCATGAAAGAGTGGGAATATCTTCTTTTTTTTACTTGAATATTGAAGCAAATTATAAAATGCAGAAATGAAGACAACCTGCCATTTTGGGAATAAAAATAAAATAAATGATTATTTGCATTTAAAAGCATTCTTCAGGTACTTGTAATAGAAATAAAAGAAATTAAGAAGTCAGAAACAGCCTGGTTGTCTGAAATTAAAGATTACATTAAATTTAACACATACATATGAAGGCATACTCCTCATTGTTACAAAATTTTGATTTTGATCTTTACTTAATATATGCTAAACTGATCTTCTGTATATAAAGACAATCGAAAATGAATCTTGATGTGAATGGAAAGGGAGAGGGAGTGGATAAGGGGAGGGTTGCGGGTTGGAGGGACGTTATGGGGGGAAAGCCATTGTAATCAATATTCTGTACTTTGGAAATTTATATTCATTAAATAAAAATTAAAAAAAATTGATTTTGGTAAATAAATAATGTGCTTGGAAATACTCAAGGAAAATAGTTTTAAAAAAATAATGCCGGCCTATATGATTCAAGTTTTCAAATATAAAATCATGTGTTTTACAAATTTATATAAGCACACATAATTTTTAAATACTATATTATGTATGATGGGAAAATCATTACATCTCTGGCATGTCAAAGACTGAAAATTTATATAATGTGAAGACCACTTTTGTTTTGAATGCATTTTATTTATTTATTTTTTAGAGTTATCTTAGTACTTTTTTTCCATGTGTATTTTATTTATTTTTTTAGAAACCTTTGTTTAATGAGTACAAATTTCTTAAGTACAATTTTAGGAATATAGAGAATCGTCCTACCATTCCCAACCGCCTACCACCACTCCCACCCCACCTCCTCCTCCCTCTCACATTCTCTGTTTCTGTTGCTTCTTTTCCGGGTTTAGGAATCAAGGTGATGCTGGCTCCATAGAAAGAATTCTTTATTACTGACTCAATTTGCATCTTGGTAATGGGTTTGTTTAGGTTTTCTATGTCTTCATGGCTCCGTATAGGTTGGTTGTATGTGTCCAGGAGTCTATCCATTTCTTCTAGGTTTCTCATTTTGTTGGCATACAGCTCTTTGTAGTAGTTTCTGATGATTCTTTTTATTTCTGTGGTTTGACTGCATGTTATAACACATTTTTTTATTCATCTATATGTGTACTGATTCCTTTACATTCATCCATTTTTGTTACTCTTGGTTACATATATGAAAATTAGTATTTCAATAACCATAGATTTTCTCAATATTAGTTTTTATGCTGGTAGTATATATGTTTTGTTACTATCTAATAATTATTATCTAATTTACATGTAATGTATGTGTTTTTAGTATATAGCTTAATGAGTTTCGACAAATATATACTCTTTGGTAATCATTGACAAACAAAGATGGATGAACTTTTCATGACTCTAAATAGTCCCTTTTAATTCTTCCAAATTTCACCTGCTAGTTAAACCCAGATCTTTTCTAAAGTATTATATCCTGATTTGAGTATTCCAGTCAAAATAAAACTCCAGGTAGCATAAAATTAGCATCACCGTCCACACATGAGCAGTAAGAGCTTTCAAAGCAGTATGTTAAGCCTCTAGTATGACATTCATTCATTATTTTTTATTTAATCTCCAAGTTTATGCAAATTTCAAAAAGTCAAGACTTAAATCACAATTAACTTTCAACAAATATTCATAAATTTATGTTCTTGAAAATAGCCAATCTGGGTGGTATCTTTTCAGATCTCTTTATTTATTTATTTTGGGATCTGTGTGATAGACCATATACAAAGATTTTTCTAACTTTTCAGATTACAGTTATTTCAAAAGGACTCCAGAATTGGTAGTAAAGGAATGGAAAATTGAAATATGTTCAAACATCTTCTCAATCCAGAATAAAATAAACTTTTAACATTCTTTGATATATTTTCTATTGTGTGTGTTCTATTCATAAATAGACACTAGGTATTTCCCAGTTTTTTTCCTATCTCCATTCTCAATTGTGTGCAATTTACAGACAATAATTGATAAGGTCGATACTGGGAAATCAGAGCATAATAGAATTAGGCCAAGTAAATACCCATTACAATTGATTGCTTTGAAGGCTATGTACTAGTATATTTCTACCCCCTACTCCAAAACATTACACTCTGATCTTACCAATGCTTCAAAAGTTTGCAAATGTAAGCCAGGTATTTAAGTAGAGAAGGGCATTATTAATATATTTGGGCACAGAAAAAAAATCAAGTGAATTTCAAATCTATTTATCAACCGTCAGTGTGATTCAAGCAGAGTGATGTGGTAGTGACTACCAGGAAAAATAGAAATTAAAAAATACAGCAACTTTTGCTGAAAGCTTCTTGGGTCTAACTCTTAGCAGGAACTAAACATAGAACAAATTTGGGAATGGCAGAGTTTTGGTTTATATCTACCTTTGCCACCTAACGTGGTGTTATTCTGTCTTCATAATCCTCAGATTTCTCTACATGTAATTGGAGCTAATAAAAAAGTACTTCATAGCATGGCTAGAGCAGTATAATATGGAATAAGCATGAAACACCTATCATAGTCCTCAGAACTTAATCGGTGTTTTTATCTTTACTCCACAATAGTCTACAAATGACTGATGGATAAACTGGCCCAATGAGTCTAATTGCAAATGCTTATTTATATTTCGAATTTTGTATTTATTTCAATACAATAAGATGTTTAGACCTTAGGGATTACCAAAGAGGGGTAGACTTTTTTACTTTCTTGGTAGAAAATAGTCATTTAAGTACATACATTATCTTGGTTCCTGTCAACTAATTTCCTATGCATCTATTTAACTATTGAAATAATTCTCTGAGCTATTATCTTTTTAAACAACATGATGTAGTTGTGTCAAAATCTTTGAGTTGAGAAAATAAGTTTTTATGAAATTATACCAGGCCGATCATTGCTTTTAATTGCTAGAAACTGATCTGCAGAGATAAAGGCTTATCAGTCCGTAGACTCAGATAATTTCTGGAGATTGTTGCTGGTTGTTGCCTCAGTGTCATGTGCGCTATGAAAGTTAAGGCTTCTCTAAAAGTCTGTGCTAACCAGGCATTTACAGAGCACATTGTGGGGGGAAAAATAGAGCTGGTGCTGTGGCATAGAAGGTTAAGCCTCTGCCTGCAAAGCCAGCATGCCACATGGTCACCAGTTCAAATCCTGGCAGCTCCAATTAGGATCCAGCTCCCTGGTAATGATCGTATGAAAGCAGATGGCCCAAGTCCTTGGGCCCAGAACTCACCTGAGAGACCTGGAAGAAGCTCCTGGTTCCTAGCTTTGGCCTTGCCCATCCCCAGCCTTTTCAGCCATTTGGAGAGTGAACCAACAGATGGAAGATCTCTCTCTCTCTCTCTCTCTCTCTCTCCCTGCCTTTCAAATAAAGAAAAAGAACAGCCAATTGTCGTTGAAATGGACACTATGAGAAACAGTGACTTGATAGCTCTTGTCCTGACTGTTGATGTACAATGTAATACTTGATACATTTTAGTATTTTCTCTTTGTTTTGTTCTAGTACTATTGGTTGAACTCTGTGATTAAAACACAATTATTCTTAGGTGTTTAAATTTTAACTGAAAAGTGATCCCTGTTAAATATAAGAGTAGGAATAAGAGAGGGAGGAGATGTACAATTTGGGACATGCTCAATCGGACTTGCCCCAAATGGTGGAGTTAGAATCATGCCAGGGGATCCTAATACAATCCCATCAAGGTGGCATGTACCAATGCCATCTCACTAGTCCAAGTGATCAATTTCAGTTCACAATTGATCACACTGATAGGTCTAAGAGTCAAAGGGATTACACAAACAAGACTAGTGTCTGCTAATACTAGCTGATAGAATCAAAAAGGGAGAGAATGATCCATCATGGGAATCAGGATACACAGTAGACTCATAGAATGGCAGATGTCCTAAATAGCACGCTGGCCTCAGAATCAGCCCTTAAGGTATTTGGATATGGCTGAAGAGCCCATGAGAGTATTTTAGGCATGGAAAGCCAAGGCACCCTGGAAAAAAAAAAAAGACCTAAAGGGAAGATCTCTGTGAGTGAGATCCCAGTGGAAAGAACTGGGCCATCAAAGAAGGAGGTACCTTTCTCTGAAGGGAGGAGAGAACTTCCACTTTGACTATGACCCTGTCGGAATAAGATCGAAGCCGGCAAACTCAAAAGGCTTCCATAGCCTTGGCAACTTGTCATGACTAGAGCCGAGGGAGATTACTGATGCCAAAAACAAGAGTGTCAAATTGTTAAGTCAACAACAGGAGTCACTGTGTACTTACTCCTCATGGGGGATCTGTCCTTAGTGTGTTGTCCAATGTGAAGTAATGCTATAACTAGTACTGAAACAGTATTTTACACTTTGTGTTTCTGTGTGGGTGCAAACTGATGAAATCTTTACTTAATATATACTGAATTGATCTTCTGTATATAAAGATAATTGAAAATGAATCTTGATGTGAATGGAATGGGAGAGGGAGCGGGAGATGGGAGGGGTGTGAGTGGGAGGAAAATTATGGGGGGGGAGCCATTGTAATCCATAAACTGTACTTTGAAAATTTATATTTACTAAATAAAAAATAAAAAAAAGGGTACTATTGGTAGAGTAGTTTAGGAATTTATAGCATCATTTACCTTAATAAAATTACCTCATGTAATTATTAATTGGAAAGTGCTAATGTGAACAT